AAAAAAAAAAAATGAAAAAAACCACCATACGACAACATTTGCCAAACGTTGTCGAAGGCTGTCTTTCGCAACATTTGTCAAACGTTGCCGTACAGATACGGCAACATTTTTTGAACGAGATACGTCAACTTTTTTGAACGTTGCCGAAGTCTTTGGCAACGTTCAAAAAACGTTGTTGTATCTCTCTACTCTACGACAACACCTCGATTTGTAACAAACGTTCAAACGTTGCCGTAGACTGTTTTTATTGTAGTGAAGGCAACTATACAAGAATTTCAATGTATAAATTGAGGATTCAAACTCTAAAACTTTGCAAATTTGTTATTACGAGTTGTACCTACAATTAATTGAAATAATGACGTACACAATACTTAAATTCTTGATATAGATCTACATAGTTAATTATCATCCTTCAAAGAGTGTGTAAAAGAACATTATTTCATGATCATTAAGAATGAATTAAATCAAATGAATTCATTTTATAATCTTTTCGACCTTGGTATTGTGGAAATCCATAATCACATGATTCACATGTTCCAATTGTAAATGATTCAAACCAAATTTTGAAATACTCCCCAAATGTCAGTTGTACTTTTCGGATTAGCTCCAAGGCAATTAATCGAATGTTGCCTCATATGAATCTATAAAATCAGGCCCCCATTTGCCCCATTATTTGTGATTATAATTTTTGCAATATTTTTTGAAAAATGTTTGATAAAAAATGAAGAAAAAGTTTTGATGAGAAAAAAAATTAATTACAAGGGGCTAAAAACCATATGGGACTAAATTTCAACCAAGGCATAGGTATTTTGGCCAAACTATCACACACTATATACGTGTTTTTTTTTTTTGTTTTTTTTGTATATTCCACCAAGTAATGCTAACAACAATATATTTCTATATTTACTCAAAAAAAAAAAAAAAAAACCTAAAAATCCTTGTGTACAATCTCACTCTTTAGGTAGAAAAGTAAAGGCGAATGGGGATCCCAGGCCTGGACGTCTAGCAGAATACTTGGCCTCATGCTCGAACCCGAAGACGTTTGATATTATCTTGAAGAGGACTCAGTGGGGGCTTGCTGCGATAATATTTCCCTTTTTACTTGCAAAAGATGACGAAAAAGAAGCCTTCGGAGATTTCTTTGATATAATGGGCTTAGGAAGAGTATAAGGTTTAAAGCTATTTAAACCAGCTGCATAGCTTCTCGAAGCCTTCATTTTCCTTTTAAAAGGTGTTCCTTTCTTCACCAAATCCTCTAGGCTTGTCACCGCTGATAATGATGTAAACGACTCTGATTTCCCTTTATAAAACTTGGACAGCCCTCTCCTGCAGAAGATCAAGCTTCACAAGGTAAGAATCGTACTCGAGTCGATCATAAATTAAGATAAAGACGATTTAGGTAGTTGAGACATGTTTTATGTCGATCTAAATGAACTCTCTTTCATAAAAGATGTATGACCTCAACACAACATTATTAAATAGATCTAGTCGAATTCAGTATACCAAACATGTTATTAGGGTTCCACCCAAAATGAAAATATATAACTTACTTGATGGGCAATTCTTCCATTAGATCTGTTAAATCATATGAACCTCCACTTGAATCTGCAGAAAGAGAAGAAGATGCTGATGAAGATGCTTCATTTGCTGTATCGAGCGAAGAAGAAGATGATGACTCGTTCAAGAACGCTGAGTCTTCAACAGAAGATTCAGAAGATGACATGCAGTTTTCATTCTGATCATGAATTTCCGTTGTATTCCCAAATTGAAACCAGAATTCTTCACACACTTGAGATTTCCCTTCTGCCATTGCCCAAATGAAAGATCTCGAGAAAATAAAGGGGAGAAAAAGACGAGAAATTCTATGACTTTTTTTGTCTGAAATAATACATAATACATGAACTTCGGCCCTATTATATGGAAACATATATATACAGATATGCATGTGTGGACTAGGATTGTTTCCTTCTGGAACAATGAAACTCAAGATAAGGGCATGGTTTTCCATGCTATCAAGACAAGATAATGACACGTGTAAAGGTCTAACAGTTTGACCTAGAATAAAAAAAAAATTATTGGGAAAAGCAATTAAGGATTAATTAGGATTATGGGTTTTTTTTTAAGATTAAAATTAATTGAGATTAACAGGTGTCAAAAGATTATTATGGGTTCAAGAAAGCTTAGCGGGGTTGATTGTGACATTAGGGTTTCCCCTCAATTTGATAAATTCAACCTTACATTTTTTTATTTGATTTGTCTTTATCTTTAGATTCGGCATTATCTCCTTTTGTGGTTTGAAATGAATTCTAAGACTTTAGTATTGTACTAATTGGAACAAGATAAGCTCTAGATTGGTACCATCCAAATCCTAGTCACCACCACATCCCACTATACAAAATTATTATATACATACATCTCTCTAGTGAAACATTAGAGTTGGGCTCCCTAACTATTTAATTGATGTAGTTTTGGACCCTCATCATTCCAAAATAGAGGTTTGAGTCACCAATATATTTGAATTTGTTAATATGAGTCATCACGAAATGAAAATCGTAAACTTTGAGGTTAAAATCGCAAGCAAATTTCACGTGATTTAAGAGAGGTAAATTTTGTTAAACAATTATCCCCTCTTATTTGATCTCATTTCTTAAAATTCATTTTCAACCGCTATGTCACGGGTCAACAATTTTTATCAATTTTGCAATCATATATTTTATCAAAATTCACTGAAAAACTGATTTTTACTCAAACCAAACATGGGCTTAATGTCCAACTTCTAGTCATTCTTGAAAAATATCTCACATAGAGATCCAAATATGCATATTTAAACAGATTTGGAACTCAAAACTTTATTTTTCAAGGTTTAAAATTCAAAACAACATTATTTTGAAACGTTGAGGACCACAACCATAATTTCTCTCTATATATACATTAGATGTCAAATTTGTTGAAAGTGAGTCATGAATAAATGGCACTCGGATAAAGGATGGCATTGACCAAGTTGTCTCACCTAACATATCTTAGCCAGAGTAACATGAAACATTTCTAGTTCTTGCACCAACAATGACATGACATGGAATGGAATGGAACATAACAATATATTAGCAGTAGATTTAATTTCAAAATATAGTCCTTGCAGTTTATACTGTGTGTTACTTTCGGTCCCTCGACTGCGAAGCACATCACAAAGTAACATGAAATATTACCTTGAAAATTTTCCAAATAATATAAGAAAATAACATGCCGTGTAAACCGCTTTATCTAAATGCTTGAATTGTTCGAAAGTCATCAACACCTAAAATCATAACTTTGAAGCTTAATTGTTAGAAAATGTCAAGTCAACTTAATATTTTAACGCATCCTAAAAATTTCATTCTAAGTCCATGTTTGGTACACATTATTTTTTTTTATTTTCATTCTTCTA